GGCTTTTCAAGGATTCGACGGCCGCCCGAAGGGCATGCGAGGCTCGAGGATCGACTTGTTCGTCCTTTCCTTCCTCCTCCCCCTCCTCCCCGTGCTCCTTCTCCTCCTCCTGCTCCCCTTCCTCTTCCTCCTCCTTCTTCGCTTGTTCCTCCTCCTCTACCCCCCTCCTCGTGCTCCTTCCGGCTCCTCCTCCTTCTAAGTTGCTACTTCTGTTAGGCGAGCGGTGGATGGCGTGGGGGGCTTCACCCTAGGTGTGAAGTTGGCGAAGCCCTGCGGGGAGGTCGCTGTGGGGAAGGCTTCGAACGGTCCCGAGGGGGGGGCACAGGCTTCACTTAGGATCAGGATTTGGACCTCCCTAGTGGTGGCTGGTGCGAGGTCGCCGCGTGGGAGCCGCTGCGGTTGCTGCTGCGGCCGTCGCGGCTGCCGCCGAGGCTGTTTCGGCGGCTGCGGCGGCTGCTGCTGAGGCTATTGTTGCGGCTGTTGCGGCGGGGGCCGGGAGACTCCCGGGCGGGCTGCTGCCGTTGTCGTCGCCGCTGCCTGCAGGAAACACCCTCGACGAATGGGCCCACCCAACGCCCCACATGGCTCCCCTCGGACGGGCCCGAGGCAGGCAGCGCACAGAGGATTGCCGTGGAGATCGGCAGGGCCAAACGGTGAGTCTCGGGCGGCCGCTGGTGCGCCCCCTGTCGCCCAATCGCTCGCTGGCGGACGAAAGGCTGGGGGCGCTCGTCGTGCAAGAGGAGGGCCGCCTGCTTCAGCGCTCAATATGTCCAACCCACGTACTCGTCAAGGTCAGACGGGCGGAACCCATGACTGCCGGGCCCCCAGGGTCATGAGACGAATCGGTGAGACGACAGACGGCGTGGGCCGTTGTTCCAGGACGCTCGTCGGCCTCGGAAAGGCTCGGGCTGGGGCAGCCAAGCGGGGCGGTCAACCCCTGCTCGGGATCCGCGAGGACGTTACCACGTGCCGCTTCTTGCGCAAAAACACTGATTGAGCGACCCCAGGGACAACGAGGCCAGACTTTGAAACCATGCTCTTGCTGGAGACTTCTTCGCGCCGGCGAGAGGTCGGAGCAAACGGTCGAGGAGGCGCGTGCGCGTCAACGTCACATCACTCGTGGCAGTCGCTGCCGAACTCGACTTGTCCCAACCATCCTGTCGTGTTGGGTCCTCGTTGTGACCAAGCGGTCCGCGCGTCTCCTCCTCCCGTGCCCCCCCCCCAATGGGGGTGCCACATGCGTCCGCCACGCCCAGTGCAGCGTCGCGTGGCCCCGTAAGGAGCTCCAGTTGCGGCCCCAATGGGGTTGGCCACGTGCATCCGCCACACTCAGCACAGCGCTTCGTGGCCCCACAGGGAGCTGCACGTAAAGCCCCAGTGGGGGTGGCCACATGCGTCCGCCGCACCCAGCGCAGTGTTGTGTGGCCCCATAGGTAGCTCCACGTAAGGCCCCACGGGGGGCGCCCACGTGCGTCCGCCGCACCCAGCACAGCGCTTCGTGGCCCCATAGGGAGCTCCACTGAAGGCCCCAGTGGGGGTGGTCACATGCGCCCGCCACACCCAGCACAGCGTTTCGTGGCCCCGTAGGCCCCATAGGGAGTTCCACCGACGCCCCCAGTGGGACCGTCCGCACGCGTCCCGCACACCAAATTTGGCACGTTCCTCCACCCGGTATAGCGTTTCGTGCCCCATTAGGAAACCCCACCGAAACACCAGTGGGACCGTCCGCATGCGCCCCTGAAACCCAATTTGGTGCTTTCACTCACACAGCACAGCGTTTCGTGCCCCCATTGGGAGCCCCACCGAAGGCCCCAGTGGGGGTGGCCACATGCGTCCGCCACACACAGTACAGCGCTTCGTGGCCCCATATGGAGCTCCACCTAAGGCCCCAGTAGGGGTGGCCACATGCGTCCGCCACACCCAGCACAGCGCTTCGTGGCCCCATAGGGAACCCCCACCCAAGGCCCCAGTGGGGGTGGCCACATGCGTCCGCCACACCCAGTACAGCGGTTTGTGGCCCCGTAGGGAGCTCCACCCAAGGCCCCGAAGGGGGTGGCCACATGCGTCCGCCACACCCAGCACAGCGCTTCGTGGCCCCATAGGGAGCTCCATAGAAAGACCCCACTGGCACAGCCCGCATGCGTCGTCCACGACCCAGTATTGCATGTCGCGACCCCATTGATTGGGAGCTCCGCCAAACACCAGTGGCACCGCCCGCATGCGTCCCCCCCACCCGGTACAGCGTTTCGTGGCCCCGCAGGGAGCTCCAGTGGCCACCGAACGCCCCAGTGGTAACGCCCGCATGCGTCCCCCCTTCCCGTGGCCCCATGAGGAGCTCCACCGAAGGTCCCAGTGGCACCGCCCGCACGCGACGGCCACCACCCACTGCAGCGATTCGTTGCCCCGCAGGGAGCTCCACAGAAAGACTACAGCGGCACCGCCCGCATGCGTTTCCCCCAACAAATAAAGCGCTTCGTGGCTTCATCGGGAACTCCAGCGAGGAACACCGCCCGCATGCGTCAGCCACACCCAGGACAGCGTCTCGTGGCACATAGGGAGCCCACCGAAGGCCCCAGTGGCACCGCCCGCATGCTTTCCCCCCACCCACCCACCCATTACAGCAAGTCTCTCACGCGTTTCGTGGCCCCATATGGAGTTCCACCGAAAGCGGCACCCACAACGCGTTACTCACAACTGCATGTGGTTGGGTCTTTTGCCCGGATAATTTCCATATCACATTTGCAAATCGATACATTACCCTTGCGTCGTAAATAATTCGCTGTGTTTTCAACACGTTTGTTCCCAACCATCCTGTGGAGTTGGGTCCTCGTTTTGAAGGGACATCGCCCCGCGTTTCCTTCCTCCCGCTGCCCACCCTCCTCCCTCCTTCCCCTCTCCCCTCCTTCCTTTTTCCTTGCGCTTCACCGACCCAGTACGGCGCTTCGTTGCCCCATACGGAGCTCCGCGTGCGGCCCCAGCGGGGGTGGCCACATGCGTCCGCCACACCCAGTGCAGCGTTTCGTGGCCGCATAGGGTCTTCCGCCCAAGCCTCCAGTGGGGGTGGCCACATGCGTCCGGCACACCCAGTACAGTGTTCCGTGGCCCCATAGGGAACTCCACGTAATGCCCCAATCGGGGTGGCCACATGCGTCCGCCACAGCCAGTACAGGGCTTCGTGGCCCCATAAAGGCGCTCCACCCAAGGCCCCAATCGGGGTGGCCACATGCGTCCGCCACACCCTGTACTGCGCTTCGTGGCCCTATAGGGAGCTCCACCCAAGGCGCCCGTGGGGGTGGCCACATGCGTCCGCCACACCCAGTACAACGCTTCGTGGCCCCATAGGGAGCTCCACCTGCGGCCCCGCCACACCCAGTACAGCGCTTCGTGGCCCCATAAGGAGTTCCACACAAGGCCCCAGTGGGGGTGGCCACATGCGTCCACCACACCCAGTAAAGCGTTTCGTAGCTCCATAACTCCACCCAAGGCCCCACTGGGGGTGGCCACATGCGTACGCCACACCCAGTACGGCGCTCCGTGGCCCGATGGGGAGCTCCACCCAAGGCCCCAATGGGGGTGGCCACATGCGTCCGCCACACCCAGTACAGCGCTTCGTGGCCCCATAATGAGTTCCACCCAAGCCTCCAGAGGGGGGGGGCACATGCGTCCGCCACACCCATGTCGGTACACCCTTCACACGTTTCGTGGCCCTATAGGGAGCTCCACCGAAGGCCCCAGTGGGGGGTGGCCCACATGCGTCCGCCACACCCAGTACAGCGCTTCGTGGCCGCCCCATAGGGAACTCCACCCAAGGCCCTAATGGGGGTGGCCACATGCGTCCGCCACACCCAGTGCAGTGTTTCGTGGCCCTATATGGAGCTCCACCCCAGGCCCCAGAGGGGGTGGCCACATGCGTCCGCCACACCCAGTACAGCGCCTCGTGGCCCCATAGAGAACTCAACCTAAGGCCCCAGTGGGGGTGGCTACATGCGTCCGCCACGCCCAGCACAGCGCTTCGTGGCCCCATAGGGAACTCAACCTAAGGCCTCAGTGGGGTTGTCCGCGTGCGCCCGCCACACTCAGTACAGCATGGCGTGGCCCCATAGGGAGTTCCGCCTGCGGCCCCGCCACGCCCAGTATTCACAGCCATATACATGTACACAAGGCGGATCCATGCTCACATTCACGCACATAGACTTACTCGCGCGCAGACTCAATCCCAATCAGACGCGCTCGCGCTCAGTCTCACCCGCGCTCAGTCCTCCGTGATCAGGCCTATCGTTTCCATTCGTGTTGTGTACCCCGCCACACATGTCGGCACACCCCTCGCACGTTTCGTGGCCCCATGGGGATCGCCACCGAAGAAGATATTCACAATTGCGGTACTCCCAAGTGCATATGGTTGGGTCTTTCGCCAGGATCATTGTCTTCGCTTGCGTTTTGTCGATTTTGATGTTTCGGTTGTTCATTCCCTACCTAGGCTATGCCTAGAAGGGTTCTTACTCTCTTAGCTTAAAGGGGCCGGGCAGTGGAAAGCGCCCCGGGCGGTTCCCCCAGTCCCCTGGGGGCGGTTCCCCCCGGTCCCCTGGGAGCTTGAGCTTTAGCTTTAGCTTTAGCGTTAGCTTTAGCTTAGCTTTAGCTTAGCTTTAGCTTAGCTTTAGCTTAGCTTAGCTTTAGCTTAGCTTTAGCTTAGCTTTAGCTTAGCTTTAGCTTAGCGTTTCTTAGCTTAGCTTTAGCTTTTCGCTTAGCGTTTAGCTTAGCGTTTAGCTTAGTTAGCTTAGCTTAGCTTTTAGCTTAGCTTTAGCTTAGCTTTAGCTTAGCTTTAGCTTAGCTTTAGCTTAGCTTTAGCTTAGCTGTTGCTCAGCTTTAGCTTAGCTTTAGCTTAGCTTTAGCTTAGCTGTGGCTTAGCTTTAGCTTAGCTTTAGCTTAGCTTTAGCTTAGCGTTACTGTTACTACTAATGCTGTTTTCCTAGGGGTTCCAACTCCTAGGTAGGGTCGCACTGGGATAATTTGTTTTGAGTTGTTTTGTCAACGTGTACCATGCGGTGAGTCTATCGAGTGTCGGCCGATGTCAGAATATCATGGGCGTGGAGTTACCTGTTTGGCCGAGATGCCATTGTTATTTCCAAGGGGTGATTACCCTTGAACTTTAGGTTTTTGTTGTCGCTGTTTTTCTTGCACAATCGGTTCCACAAGAGTGCGCGAGGAGTGATAACATCACCAGGGCGGCGAGAAGCCAAAGCCGGAACCGACGGGTGAGCAGGCATGCGCACGTCAACATTGTATCCAGGGCAGGAAAAAGTCGAGCCAGGCTGATTTGTGTGCGTGGGCATGACAATATCGCCAGGGCGGCAAAAAACCGAATCGGACGGGTGCAACACTATGCCGACAGCACCACTCGCATGGGCATCAGAGCTATGAGCGTGGAGGGCGGCGGACCTTGGGGGAGCACCAGGCGGAGGAGGAAAAGGAGGAAAGAATCTGGCGCCTTCACGGAAGGAGACGAGCTGCCGCAGACCACGATTGGATTCCCAGGGACGTCACTAGGGCGGCTAACGGCGGCATAGACTACGGCAGGATTGCCGGGCACGTCACCAGGGCCGATAGCCGCGGCGGTGACATTGCCAGGTGCCGCTTCTTGCGCAAAAGTGCCGTACTTCGATTCTTCGACCCCAGGGACGCCAAAGCTTAAATCTGAAACCATGCTGGCGGTGGAGACTTCCTCACGCTGGCATTATGAGGCCCGACCAGTCGCCTTGGTCGCCTTGGTCACCTTGGGCGCCTTGCTCGCCTTGGTCGCCTTGGTCGTCTTGGTCGCCTCGATCGCCTCGGTCGCCTCGGTCGCCTCGCTCGCCTCGCTCGCCTCGCTCGCCTCGCTCGCCTTGTCGCCTTGGTCGCCTTGGTCTCCTTGATCGCCTCGGTCGCCTTCGGTCGCCATGGTCGCCGTGGTCGCCTTGCTCGCTTTGCTCGCCATGGGTGTCTTGGTCGCCTTGCTCGCCTTGGGTTCCTTGGTCGCCTCGGTCGCCTTGGTCGCTTCGGTTGCCTCGATCGCCTCGATCGCCTTGGGTGCCTTGGTCGCCGGGGCCGGCCTCCAGCTCCGCGGCTTGAGCCAGAGGCTTGAGCCAGAGGGAGCGCCGCCGCGACACAGCAAGCACAAGCTTCTGACCGTAATTACGGCTCCCAGGGCCCGTGACTAACATCCCTCTCCGTCCGACCCGAGAGCGCGGAGGCCTTCAAGGGCATGAGCGTCGAGCTAACCACCGAGCCGAGGCTGCGCGAGCAGGACCTCCCGCCAGGGCGGCGGCGGCCCCCCGCGGGCGGGGGGGGGGGCACGCCTCGGGCTCGGAAGTTCGGCAGGACGAGGAGGGACGAGTAGGAAGAGGAGGAGGAGGAGGAGGGCCATACGCGGGGATTCCCCCCCCCCCCCCCGCACTGTGGCCCCTTGCGCGCCCGCCGCCGCGGGGCCGGCCTTAGCCCGCGCTGGCAGCCAGCCGCCGGGCCATGGTGGTGGCATGGTGGTCGCGGGCTCCAGAAGCTCGGGCATCGAAGACAGGCTACGAGATGGACGTACCGCGATACGCACGTCAGCATGGCGCGAGACTACGATCTGCGGATCGCAGATAGGCTTACTCAGTCAGAGAGGACGAGTGCGGATTCCAAGGGTGCTGCCATTCTCTTTTGCAGTGACTTCTGGAAATCACGAAGTCAAAAAGTACGACACCACTTACGAGACATCAGGAAGAGGTGCAATACGAGAGCACGTGCGGAAACAGAAGGAAGACGTGCTATACGAGAGCACGCATGGGAGAGGTACTATACGAGAGCACCATGCGAATATAGATCAGAACATACAGTGCATCGTCGTGAATGTCCCACTGCAGCAGCAGCCGCAGAGCTCCGACCAGTACGGCGACCAGCACGGCGACTGGCACGGCGACCTGTACTCCTGCAGCCCCCAGGATTATTCCTGCTTCCCAAACGTGGAACACTGCGACTTGGCAGCCGGCAACTCTTATTCGGACAAGGGGGAGCACGGAGAGAGCGTGCCTTTTGAGCTACTGCAGCATCCAGCACAGCTACCAGGGCCACCAGACGACCTTCGGGGACAACAGGCTGAATTACGAGGACCTTCAGCAGAGCCACGGAAGGCACTAGGAGAGGGCCACCTTCTGAGCTACGAGAACCACCAGCAGAGATGCACAAACAACCAGCTGAGCTACGATGGCAACAGGGTGAACTAACAGGAGCACCATCGACTACACGTAGGAGCGACCCTAGGCTAGAATGACCTTTGGTGCGCGGCTTTACGGGCGCCCGTGGGGGTCCAACGCAACCGCTCAAGCCAGTGCTGCCGCGCTGCATCAACGATGGCGGGGCGCCGCTCGAAAGTTTGTGTTGTGCCAGTGGGCAGCTGCGGGATTCTGCCCATGGGATTCTAACGGCCCACTTGCTTGGGTCAGGGGCTCTCGCCCGCAAGCCTGTGAGCTTTAAAAAATTCCTTGGTGCCAGTTGACTGAACCTTTAGATTCATATATATATATATATATATATATATATAGCTGTCTAAACGCGTTATACATGCTCCATGTAGCAGTAGACAGCAGGAGGGTGATACAATTTCCCCCACATTCGTATAATCCAGTATATGTGCTGTCTCGTTTCCGCCCTCGTGCTCTCGAGGGGGGCAGGATTTGTCCGCCCTGTCTGGCGGGGCAGTAGACTGAATGCGTCATGAACGCGCATTTCGCGTTGGAAAAGCTCACCGCCGACGGCATCTGGGGTGAAATACGGAAGCTTCGGAAAGGATTTTGCCCTTGCCAAGGTCGACTGCGCGATTATTCTGAAAGACAACTCGTTGACAGCGAACGCCGGGCAGAGACGCTGGCAGATCACCTTGAGAAAAAGCAATGGGCTGTCCGGCCAACCACAACAATGCAGAACATTGAGCACATCAACGAGGAGCTTCCAGTCCGCATGGGGTCTATCACTGAAGACGAGGTCCGAGCCGCAGCGAAACTAACGCCTACGCAATGGCAAGTCAGCAGGGATGGACGATCTACCGCCTGAGTTTTGGAAGGCAGCGACGGACCAGGGAGAAGCTGCATTGTCATGGATTACGAAATGTTGCAGCCTGGTGTGGAGCACCTCAAGAGTGCCCGATTCGTGGCACAAGGCGAAGGTCACATTAATTTACAAGAAAGGAGACCCAGCATCCTGCGACAACTACCGCCCAATATGTTTGTTGCCGATCGGCTACAAAATGTTCGCCATGATCCTTTTGAGCAGGCTGAAGGAGGCTGGAGCCGAGAATCACATATGGAGGACGCAATTCGGTTTTCGTTCTGGCCGGGGCACCGCTGATGCGATCTTTATCGCAAGGAGGGTGTTGGAAGATGCATGGGCGACCAAGGACGGGGCTGCCTTGTTCCTCGCGCTCGACTGGGCGAAAGCATTCGATTCGGTGTCGCCCGAAGCGCTCGCAGTCTCACTCCGGCGGTTTGGATGCCCGTCGCATTTCGTCAGCGTTGTGTCTGCTATTTATCAGGGTCGGCAGTTCGTCGTGACCGACCGCGGAGAGACATCCCACGAACATGTACAAAACTATGGTATATGTCAAGGCTGCCCACTGTCACCATTTCTCTTCACCATTGTGATGACTACCCTTCTCACCGACGCGCACGCTATGCACGGAACACGGGTAGGCCAAGCTTCAACGGAAAAGTTTGTGCGGGAACTAGTGTATGCTGACGACACGCTCCTGATTGACAGTGACCCGGATATCATCGAGGACCTCATGAAGTGCATAGAGATATGTGGAAGTCACTATGGGCTATCGTTCAACCTACAGAAACTAGAGATGCTGAAGGTGAAGACGGCGGCGGACGTTCGGGACAGCAGCGGTGGGTTGGTGACTTGCATGGATTCTCTTGTGCATCTCGGTACCCATCTGTCCGCCGACGGAAGGAGCGGAACATAATTGAGCAACGGGATTGGCGCAGCGGGCAAAGATTTCAAGATTTTGTCTTCGATATGGTCCCACTCTTCTCTTCCTCGGAGGAAGAAAGTCAAGATCTTCGAATCGTGTGTGGTGTCCAGACTATTATACGGCGCGTTTGCCGCCTGCCTGAACAAGACGGAGCGGAGGAGGCTAGACAGTTTTCAAGCACGTTGCCTGCGAAAAATATTAGGAGCTTCGCCGGCATATTACAGCAGAGTGTCAAATGCAACCGTGTTGGCAATGTCAGGCCGGAGGCCTATCAGCGAGACCGTCATCAAGAGGCAGATGCTCTTCATGGGCCAACTTGCGCGACGTCCTGACAACGACCCTGTCCGGCAATCTGTTTTCCAGCCAGGTGGCATAGATCTTCGGCCCCCGTCCGGACCTCGGCGACGAGGGCGGCCCAGGCAAGCGTGGGGAAGCATGGTTTTTCGAAATTGTCTTGAAATCGCTGGTTCCCTCGACGCGCTGTCTGCATACTTTCACCCCTCAGGTGGGGCGGCAGCATCGTGGGAGTCGGCAGTGAGATCTTGGTGCCCGAACACAGGGTAGCACCGCAATTTGACATCGCGGTGCCATGTTTCACCTTGCTCGCGCGCCGTCTGGCGCTAGGCTTCTCGCTCGCTCGCTCGAGATGCGCGCGTGGCGGCATCCGGGTTCTCGTCGAGAACCGGAGCGAAGATTTAAGCTTGAGGTAGGACAGGTACACAGTATTTGTTCTGATCAGTGTATCGTGTGCTGGCTTAGCTTTGTGTAGAAGCATTCAGAGATATTTTAATTATCCAGCATGCATGAACTGTAACACAAACAAATCGCACGCCCCGAACGGCACTTCGAAGGCGCTGCGAAAGCAGACTCTGCTGGGGGCCACCACGATGAGGTCTGTCACTGCTGGGCCGCATCGCGATGAAGCCGGACCCGGTCTGGCGTCATGGCCAAAACCGGCCCCGCCCTCTGGCCTGGGCTATGTTTGAATATCTCTGGAAAAGTTGCAAGGTATAAAGATCACCGTTGTTTCAGAAAAATGTATTCAAACGTTCTGAATCATACTCAAGCATATTCAAGGATATTCAAAGATCGGAGGTGAGGGGGGGTGAGATCGAAGTAGAACGGAGAGCCCCCCTACCGGGAAATCGGTTTCGGTTTCGTGTTCGTGCGTGCCGTGCGTGCGGGCGAGGCGAAGCTGCGTGGGCGGGCGAGAAGAAAATCTCCTCCAGCTGAGGCGCGGCCGGACCACATGATTCTATAGGTTTATGCCACATCTGCCGACCCCTATATAAACGATTGCGCCTCCAGGACTGCATTTCACGCGGTTTGTCCGAATCGTGACACGGCGCTCGACATCGTTCCTGTTGCTTCGTTGCTGTTATCGTACCTCTTGGTGTTCTTTTGTGGCCTTTTGGTGGCATCTTGTTTTGTCTGCAGGCCATCTCTGGCCGCCTCGAGGCATCTTGGGCCAAGTTTGGGGGTCTCTTGGGGGCTTCCTGGGGGCTTCTTGGAGGCCTTTGAGGTTCTCTTGGGGGTCCCTCAGGGCCTCTTGGGGTGTTCTTGGGGCAGGCTAAAAGCGTCCTGAGGCCGAAGGCTCGAAAAGGTGCCCTCTGGACTCCCTCTGCCATCTGGTGGCCCTCTTGGGCTGTCTTGGGGGCTTCGTGGGCTGTTTTTGGACCCTCTTCGACCCCTCTTGGGGGCCCCATCGGCCGTCCGGGGGCGATCTTGAAGGTTTTTGTTTTGCCCGTCTTGGACGTTGTGAAAGCCGATAAGGCGAGTATGCAGAACATGTTTTTACTTTCCACGGGAATGGGACGTTTTTTTGTTTCTTGGGACCCTCTTTGGACGCATCTTGGGGGCCTTTGGGGGCGTCTCAGCAGCTTCGGAGGCCGTCTGGAGGTCGTCGTGGACGTCAAGGAGCGATATGTCGGCGAGTCGTGGCCCTCTGGGACCGTCTGGGGAGCCTTTGGTGCCTTCTTGTCCCGTTCTGGAGCCCTCCGCTCTCCCATGACGCGTTCGGTCTGGGGTCGGGCCAGGCCAGGGGGGGGGGGGTCAAATTGCCGGCTTGGGGTCCCTGGAGGGGGAGTATAGGGAGGGATAGTCTCACACGCCTAGAGACCCACAAGGGGTCGGCGGATTCTTGGTCTTGGGTCTTTTTGTGGCAGAGCTTCGGCCGCATAATTGGCCGCCAACAAAATCCTCATCAGTTTTTCTCCAACCATGCCAGCTTTCATATCCACTTCGGCCACTCTCGCACGTAGAGCCTCCGATACCCTAACTTTGAGAGTTGCTTCGCCTG